GGGTCTCATTAGGCTGCCGCGGGCTTGACAGCTCCGGCGACAGGGACTGGAGAGGGGGGCTGCGGACTGCAGGGCGGGGGGAGAGTGGACCAGGGAGCGGCCCCACGAGGTGCTGGGGAGGCCGCCGCGGGGCACCGGGCGCGGGGCGCGGGGCGAGCGCGGCTCCGGTGCGCGGAGCTGCTCCTAGGGTTTGAAGGCGACCGGGGGCGGGGGCAAGCGGTGAGCTCGCCGCACCCCGCTGGGCTCCCGAGCTGTGAGACAAGGCGGGTGGGGCATTCAGAGGGCAAAGGCGGGATCCCTAAGGACACCGTGTTAGGCAGAAGAGGGTGTCTGGGATGCCAGAGTGGCGGTGGAGCGCTCCTTCCAAATTGTCCTTTGTTGCTGTGGAGCCGGCCCCTGCCCTGGAAGACGGTGCGTTTCCTAAAACACCCAAGAAGCCAGATCTGCTATGCTTAAGTACCCCAGCCAGGGACAGTGCCCGAAGGGTCCACTGAGCTTCCAAGGCTAGCCTTCAAAGAAATAGAGACGTGTGTCATCAGGCCCACACAAAGCCCAGTGTCAGAGCGAGGGCTTCTCAGACTGTGCTTTGCCAAGGAGCCTCACAAAAGACTCCAGACTTGGCACCTGGTCGGACTTTGCCTTTTCAGGAGAAGGAACTGCTTAGGTGTGAGAGAGAAAGGAACCCGAGCACAAGGTGCGTGCCTTCCCCCGGTATTTAAACCTAAATTAATTTCACTGGGAGGAAATATCATGCAGATTTTTTTTAAAAGTCTATTTCACGGTCCCAGCAGGGTAATCGTTTCTTTCAATCCTGAAGCAACAGAAAACTGTGAAATCTGAACAGAAATTGTTAGATCAAAGGAAAAAGCAAACATTAAAGAAATGAAAGTACTCTCATTATATAGCAAAATGGAAAGTGTTCACATTGGGGTAGTTCAATTTTTTAAAACACGGTTAAAAGGACATAGTCAATTTAAAATTATCAGGAGTGACCCAGGAACAGCAGCCAGATCCTGGGGGATCCACAACCAAGCACCTAACACACAGTGAATCATAAATGTTAAATCACTGCAATATGCACCCATGTCACATTTTCTATTTAATTTAAACTATTTTTTAAAATTTCCCTCCAGGATGCCAACCCAGAGTGTCTTCCCAATAAGGCCCATTTTCTTTTAAAAGCAGTTTGCCGAGTCGTTCAGGGCTTGGGAGCACCCTCCAATTACACTGGGTTGTATGTTCCTGCCCCTCGGAACAGCCCTGCTGGTATAAGGAGATCTAAGCACCAGCACTTCCTCTGCTCCCACCGTCATTTGCCTTCTTTCTGTACAAGGCAGCCTGGATGCCACTCCATCTGAAGCCCTGCAGTGACACATGGCCCATCACACCCTTGGCTCTATCACATGGAACTTCCTGTTTCCCCAGCGTTCTTCTAATTAAAGGAAGCATTTATTCATTTGACCAAGTAATCTGTATTACACAGATGGATTGGAATCCAGGGTAGCGGGATAGCTTCAGAGTGGACCGCCTGACTCAGTCCTGTCACCTGGTAGGATTGTTACCATTTGAGCTTGGAAGAAGGCCATACTTGGATTCAAACCCTACTTCTCTCACCAAGTGGTGTGACCTTGAGCACATCATTTAGGCTTACGGACCCTCAGTTTCTTCACCTGCAACAAAAATCTGATAACAGGGTGTTGTAAAGATGAAATGAGATGGTATGAGTAAAATTGCAATATACCTGGCATGAAGTTTATGTTCCAGAAGCTGAGTGTCAAATTGTTCACATGAAAAATCAGACCTACAGTTTGAACCACTTTTGCTTTCTGCATTGTATCTGAAGATAACTACTCCACAGTGATTTTCCTGGGGAAAATGTCTCATCCTCAGACCCAAGTAAATACTCCTCCTGTTCTAAGGTGAATGATAGTCAACAGGTCTCTTCTCTTCTCTTCTCTTCTCTTCTCTTCTCTTCTCTTCTCTTCTCTTCTCTTCTCTTTAGAGGTTTTTGCTATAGGGCGCGTGCGCTTGCCAGAAAGACAGAGAGAGAGAGACAGAAAGCGAGAAACTACCCCCCTGGGGGGATGGCCACTCCACAATCCCTTCTCCTCCATGCTCCTCTCGGGATCTTGGGCACGCACGCACACGTGCCCGGCGTGAGTTTAAGCCACCGGGTCTGGGACTCGAACCGTGGTCAGCTACATGGGAGTTCAGCGACATAGCCATTATGCTTACCGCTGGCCCCAACAGGTTTCACTATTTATCTCCAAAGTTTCAGAAGGGGATGTCAGTTTCTATTTCTGCAGTCTGGGTGATATTTTCCTTTGTAGAGCTTTAGTTAGAGAAAGTCAAGCCTGGCCTATGAAGTGGATATTTTAGTATTTCAAATAACAGATGAAAGGACAGAGGGGAACTTGCTGGGAAGCTGTCAGCACAGGGCCACCTTGTGCTGTGCAAAAGTAGAAAAAGGCTGAGACTGAGACTTTTTTTATGTCCTTACTGGGATGGCATCCTGGAGGGAGGTTTTCATTGGTACTGTGTCCCAAGGTCAGAAGGATACAAGGCCAACTAGTGTGCTCTGCTAAGCACACAGTAACTCTGAAGCCCACTCATTTGAAAAACAAACAGAAGATTCGTTTACATATTTTATTCATTCACATTTGGCATACATTCTAGGCCATCCCTATTTTCAAAGTGGAAAAGGGAGGGCCAGCAGGTGGCAATGTAGTTAAGGAGCTGGATTCTACATGGCTGGCTCTGCGGTTGGAGTCCTGGACCCAATGGCCTGAACACATTCCAGGTAGGTGTGTGTGTGTGTGCCCAAAACCCCAAGAAGGTAATGGAGGAGAAGGGTGGGCAGCACGGCCATCTCTTGAAGAGGTGGTTGATTTCTCACTTTCCCTCTTTTTGTCTCACTCTGCTTCTCTCTGGCAAGTGGATGCACCTTATGGCAAAAAATCTAAAAAAAAGAAAAAGAGAAATGGAAAAAGGAATACAGGTGCTCTAAATACAGGTGCTTCTGAACTAAGATTTGGAAGTGGATTGATCGTCTGGGTTAGTAAAGTCATAACCAACAGAGAAAGCTCAGCGGGCAGGATCATTCACTACCATGGTTCTTCAATTCCGAGGCCTGGAGGCCGTTTGCTCCTTGTAAAAAATGTTGACTTTCAGTACATTAGCAGAAGGTGACTAAAATAAGACGCTAAACCTCCCCCCTCCTCCACAGGCTCAGAAACCTATTCATGAACTTTCCGAAGTATTTCTCCAAGTGAGATCATGAGAAAGGTAGTTCCTATATTTTACTAATTTATGGATAGCATGAATTCTAGGTAATTCCCCATTGCTAGCAGAAAAGGGAATACTAGTGCTACAAAGGTCTTAGATCTATTTGAAAGTAGACATTTTTAGCTATTTCTATGTTTTTTTCCCCAACTACCAAAAGATATAAGGGATAAAAGGAGTCATAGATAATTTGGTCAATTTAGGATTAAAAATTTTACTGTCTTGTTGTAATTTTCCTTCCACCTGGCATCCCAAGTTGCCTTTCTCTTTCCAAACTTACTACTGTTCTCCCCTTCACAGATGTGACCCTGTGCCACTGTGCTCTGGGCCCCCAGGGGCTGGCAGCCCTGGTCTCTGCTTATCCTCTCCTTGCTGCCCATCCTACACGTAGTGAAGGTTCAACCAGAACGCATCTTCTCTCGACAATCTGCCTGATTTCCAGGCCAGAAACCAAAGCTCTTTCAGTAGAATTTCTCTCGTCCTTCCGTATCTCTCAGTTGTCTGATTTCAGGCTCTGCCTTGTGTTAATGGTAATCTTGGTATGCCATTTAAAGCTTCCCGGAGACAGAGTCCCTGTCTGCCCAGCCCTGGTATTCTGTAACATGCTTTGTATGCAATAGGTGCTCAGTAAATATTAATATTTGTTGAATAGAGAAGTAAATGAAGAAGCAAAGGAATCTGTAAACAGCTCCCAGTAAACCAGTTCTCCTCATATCTGTGATCAGGTGATGAGTAACACATCCAGTGCAGAAGAAGAAATTAGTGGGCATGTAAGGACACTCTATTTGCTGTGAACAAGGAAAATGGAAATGATGAAAACATAAGAAATATTTTTTTGGTTAGGTTTTTGCCATAGAGCATGTATGCTCACCTGAGAGAGACAGAGACAAAGAGAGAGGGAAAGGAGAAAACACCCCCCAAGGTGATAGCCATGCCGCAGTCCTTTTTTCTCTATTCTCCTCTCTGGATTTTGGGGATGCCCATGCATGCTTCCTGTGTGATTTTCAAGTCTCCACATCTGGGTCTCGAACTGTGATCACCCATGTTGGAAACCAGCGCCTTAACCACTATGCCACCTGCTGGCTCCAGAAAAAATATTTTGATGGAGCAAATGTCTGCAGTCTGCACCTTGCTCTCCCATCAATGGCTG